CCCACAACAGAACTTAAAAGGGAGCAGCTACAGCCCAATCGATAGCAACTGATTTAAACCTCAACGACCTCCTTTTTTTAACCAATAACCCATAATTGTAATGAAAAGATGGACTCAGAGGTTTCGAAAACTTTAGACAATAATCGACACAGAAATGAAATAATGGAACACTCAGTAATGTTTTTCCTCTATTCTAGTACCGGAAATAAAAGAACAATAGAAAGGAAAAAGAAAATTTCGAACCCCAATCTTTACTTTTCTTCCAAAATCTCTCTAAAATCCTCTCCAAAATCTTCTGAAAAATCCCCCACATAAGAAAACGTTCTCACCTTTTATAGACCTTCAGATCTTCTCGAATCTTCTTCCTTTCTCTCCAAGAAAACTCCAAAACGAAAATCCTTCCCCCAATCTGATCTCTTACCCCTTTTCTGATGAAAAAAGGGACAAATGGAGGGAGTAGATTAACTTGAATCCAATCTAACGCTCCCCATTTTTCCTCATTTTCATCTGAAGGGTGAAAAATCCGAAATAAATCAAAGAAGCATGTGAGGGAGAGGGAATCTGTCAGAAACGGTTACCATATAGCAAGAGGAGAGAAGAGGAAAACACGTGGTGTGAGTTTGGGGCTCACTCGCCATGAGTTTTGAGTGATTTAGGGTCTGGTTTGGGCGAAGAAGGCGAGTGAACAGTGATGGCGTTGTTGCTTGGGATTGGGATTTAGGGTTCTGTGTATTGTGTGTGTATATTTAGGTATGGGTCGGGTTAGGGGAATGGGTCGCGGAGTGGGTTTTGGGCTGGGGAGGGCAAACCTGGAATTTGGGCTGAGGGGATTTCAATGGTAATTGGGCTGGAACTAAACCCTTTTACAAAATCGTTTTTCCTCATTTTTTTAATTTTTTAAATAATGAAATCCTAAAACTAAAATCCTAAATTGTCTAAATTATAAAATTAAACTAATTACCTAATCAACATAATTATAAAAGTTACTTAGTCCTAAATTAAAAAGGAAAAATCAATAAACTAAAAATTAAAAGGTAAAAAGTAAACATGAGTCATTTTTTATTTTCATTTTAATAAAAGAAATGATTACTAATTAATTCTAAAAAATGTAAACACAAACCTAAATGTAATGCATGGTATTTTCTTGTATTTTTTCATGATTTTAATGGAAATTAAATGTGCACGAAAATGCAAGTAATTCTACAAAAATCTATAAAATTGCAAATAATGGAAAAAATTTATTTTCTTGAATTTATGGGAGCAATTCATATATGGCAAAAATTACGTGCTCACACATTCATTAAGTGATTCATAGTTCACCAGCATTTTAGGTACCGATACTCTGGTGAGTTAAATTATTCTATCCTGGGAGGATAATATTCCAATATTTCGGGTACTTGAGGGGAATAATTTTCTTAAAGACACATTATGCGTTCAGTGGGCTCGATTTCATTCCGAAAATTTATTTTTCAGATTCTGTTTTGATCATTTCGAGATACTGCTATACTCTGATTTTCTGCTTCTGTTTTCTATTATAGAAAATTTACTGTTTCATAATTTGTAGTTAATACAGGTTGATAACAGTCATATGCTTTAGAAAATAGTTATTTAACAATTTAGTAAATATACATAAAATAAAGTAATTTATCTAGTAAAATAGTATAATTTTCCAACAAAGAGGTGTTGACACCCCTGCTTCAATATGGCTCCGCCACTGTTAAAGAGAGTCACTTAGATCACTCTAGCAGGAGGATTTGCAAGTGTGATAATAACTCGAAACAAACTTTAATAATTTGATCGTCGAACCAAAAGAAAAACCATATTACCCGAAAGAAATTAGTATTAACATGTCTTGGATTTTGACTTATCTCGTACGAATATATATATATAATTTATTTTATTTAAAACACATAAAAATGCTTAGTTTGTATCCCTCGTTAATTAGTACAAAGAGATATCAAAGAGAACTTTCAAATATCGAAACTAGTAAAGTTGGCAAAGAAAACTCCAAATGCACGTCGTGATCAAAGGCTAATAATGCAAAACTGCAACAACTGGAGTAAACTGAGAAAATATGATGAACGGCTAGCTAGGTCATGGAAATAAGCACATAACAGCGACTAATCAAAGGAAATTGACACGCAATAAGAGCATGCCTTAATTATTAAGTTATGTTTGCTTTCAAATATCCCACTATTTATTTTTATTTGTGTTTAGAAGTACTCACTCGTCACTATGCTGCACTTTTTTGGGATTTAATTTTTCATTTGTTATTCGGTATTCACGTTGGGCTCAATTAACTCGGAATACATGTAGAAAAGTCTCATGTTAAATGGTAAAACACTATCTAACAAAGACATTTTTACCCTTAAAGACTCAAAACCAAAACTTTTGATTAAAGGTAAAGATATTTACCACTTTACTAAGTCATTTTCAGAAGAAGTCAGTGCTGCCCAATTCCAGGGTCATCATCTTTCAGGTCAGTGTTACTGGTCCATTAGGCAATTATTATTACGCTTCACTCTCAAAAGTCCTCAAAAATTGAATTCAGCCCAACAACTTTTACTTTCTCTAATTTGCGGTCCCCCATTATTTGGTGACTTTGGTTATAACTTTTTCTGTTGACGGTGATTTTACAAACAAACAAACAAACAACAAAATAATATAACGTAGATATTATTAACATACCAAATAAGCTCTTCTAAGTTTCATTCAGGTCGACAAAAGCATCTTCTCATAATCGACAGAGTGAAACGCTAGCTAAGTTATTTGGGTTTAGCATCTCACAATAAAGACAAAGTAAAAAGAATTAATGACTCTAATTTATTAGTGTTATGTTTAAATCAGTTTAATTAAATGATATTCTTTTCTTACACTTGCTGGTTTCCTATGGTCCATCTTACGGAAATGTTAATACTTTTCACATTTCTCATTCCTGGAAGGGAAAATTTCACATAAGAACAATTGTGCTCCCTACTTTTCAATTTTATAGCTCATATTTTAATTTACAACCAATTAGCCCATAAATAATAGGCTAATACCCAACATTCAACTCCAATAAATTTTTGAAATTGCTATTTAATTTTTAAAAAAGATTGCTCAAGCTTTTAAGTTAATTTTTGAATCAGTAACTGCGACTCAAATATTAGTTCAACAAACCAAATCCATTTGAGTGGCGAAAATTAGATTTTTAACAAGCTAAAATATGTGGGTTTAAATTTCGAATTTGATTTTGTGAGAAATTTAGAGTGAGTGTTATTTAGACTTATTAGAAATAGTATAAGGAGGTTGTATATAAAATTTGAAGTCATTTAATGGAGATTTGGATTAGTTTTGAACAAGAATTGTAACTGAAAATCGTAGAAGAAGTTCGTCTACAGATGCTTGTATAAAGGTGTATAAAAGTGTATAATAGTGTATAAGAGTGTTTATACACTCATATACACTATTATACAAGATTATAAAAAAAACTAGCTTCGTTTTATACCTTGCGTTTTTTTCTGAACTTTATACTCAAATCTTGCTCAAATCTACTCCAAATCACTTCATATTTAAATTTTGAACTCCTTTTGATATTTTCAATCAATTGGAACAACACCCAATCCAAACAACTAACAAACTCAAAAAATCCTATTTTCGAAAGCAAAGTTTTGAATGACCTTCAATGGTGGACTTCTACTCTTCAATTTTCTTACATTGCAACAGGGGAGAAGCAAAAAATACACGACCCCTTAAAGCATATGTAGAAGATGTAAGAAGAAGAGAGAGTGAAAGCAATAGTTGTGAGATTTAACTCCATAATTTTTAGAAGCAATGGTTATAAGAACACAGATTTTGAATTTATTAATACTTTCAAAATATGTACAATATGGGTTAGGTAAGATAAAAATTAAAAATTTAGATCATTTTTTGTTATGATGTAAGGTCATGTGTATTTTCTTATAATTCTCTATTCTTGGAATGGACACACACATCAGATTCAGAGCGCTCAATTTGTGAACGAAATCTTTCCTTGTCATTTCTTTTCATTTCCACAGTAAGAAAATAACACCCAAAAAGGAGCACCCAAATACTTGGGCAAACGCCAAAAAAAAGATCCATCACTATTTTTCACTTTTCATGGTCATTTGGTACGAGGTATAATAAGGTATAATTGTGGTATAAAAATTTAATATCGCTTTAATACTCTGTTTGATTAGCAAATCAAATATAAGTTATTTCGGTGTTAATTTTAATACTGAGATAACTTATACCTTATAGAAGGTGAAATAATTAGCACTGATATAACTTATATTGTCTTCTTAAAAATTATGCAATTGTCATTCTTAATACAACATACCAAACAATTAATAAACAATAATCCCAGCATAATTTATCTCAATATAACTTATACCGATATAAATCGTATTCTAACCAAATGACCTATCAGAGAACAACACATCTTTACCAGATTAAACATGTACTTTCATTCAATTACCAAAAGCTTATATTTCTTTTTTTGTTAAAAGAAAATTAAGAAAACTACTTTCACCCCCCATGAATAGAATGGGCCGTACAATCAGTTTCATGTGTGCAATTTAATCATATTCTTACACCAATGTCAAGATATTAGGTAAATAATAAAACAAAACAATATTAATAGAAACAAATAAATTCAAACTACTTCATCTTCTCCAGTACGGAATAGAATCAGCTGACACTGCGGACTAAAGACAAATGGTCTATGATATTAAATTGAACTATACCCGTCCGTTCTCTTTCACTTGTTCAATATTCTGAAAAAATAGGCAATTTATGAACAAAGGGAGTACTTGACTCCGACCCGGAAAAAAAAAGAATTTACACTGAAATTAATTTGAACTATTTTAACAAGTTGCCCACAATGTTTTCAAGCTGAGATAGTTTAATGCATTATCAATATGTTAATTAATCTAATTGTGAAAATTCTTTTGCAGATGATGAAAAGCATCAAATAATGCAACTCAATAAGAAGGATCTGTTTTGCCTTCACAATTTTTTTATCCATGTTCTAATGAATGCATACATCAGTTTCAAAACAGAAACACAAATATACAATCAACCCCAAAAAAAAAAATCAAGAAAAAAATGGAAAAGCAGACTCAGTCAATAGTGAAAGGAGAACTTTCCTTGTTATTGCTTCTCATTCCACAGTGAAAAACCCAAGAGAAACCCCAAAAGGGGCACCAAAAAACTTTGGGGCAAACCCTAAAAAAAAAGAGCCATCACTCTTTTCCACTTTTTCAGAGAGCATTACTAGTTACTTTTCATAAACCAAAACATAAAAAATAAAATAAAAAAGAAAACTCTTCTGTATATTCTTTCTTCTTCATCTCCATCCCACCTTTTTTTCCTTTTTCTTTTTTAATATAATATTTTCTTTGCTATTTATAGATTTTGTGGTAGATGAACATTCTTGAAAATTTCTCAAAGAAGATCCATTTTAATTTGTTCAAGCAGCAGCAACAGTTCCAGGTCTGAAAGGGTAATCTTCTGAAGATTTGTTGGGGGAAGTGGATTTGTTCTGGTCCTTTTTTCTCATGGCTTTAATGGAAGATATGTTCAATTTTTTCTCTTTAGCTTCATCCATTTCTATCTGTTGTTGTCTGCACTCTTCACTACAGAATGGAGTGTCCCCTCTGCAATACACAAATCACAATCACAATCACAATCAGTACTGACACCCCACACCTAATATAGCAATCAAAGCCCAACAGCCAATCCTCTGTTCTAGAAGCAATATATAAACTATATCAATCTTGTAAACCATAGAATGTCCCATTTCTTGAATAAAAATTAGATCTTGCATACTAGAATATGAAGAAATATGCTTAGCATATGTTGCAACAATTTTCCGAGTAAAAATGGGAACTTGAATTAAAAGGAACCCCGTATTCCAATATAAAGAGAAAACAAAAATTTAGCAAATATTATTATCATATCTCGAGTAAAAAACGGATTTTTAAGCAAAAATAAAAGAAAACATGAATTTAAAGGAACCCCATATTCATATATAAAGAGAAAACAAACATGTAGCATATATTACTATCATTTCCTGAGTAAAAATCAGATCTTTAAAGCAAAAATAAAAGAAAACATGAATCTAAAGGAACCCTATATTCAAAGAGAAAACAAAAATTTAGCATCTATTAGTACCATTTCTAGAGTAAAAATCGAATCTTTAAAGCAAAAATAAAAGAAAACATGAATTTAAAGGAACCCAATTTCCCAATATAAAGGAATAAACAATATTATGCATTAAAAGTTTGAAAAAATAGAAAACAAACCTGTACATGAAGATGTCACAGTTATCAGCCAGGCGTTTCTTGCAAAGGAAACAAGCATCCAAGAAATATTGTTGTTGGGGTTCATCAAATCTACCATCATAGTACTTTCCAGCAGCAGTAACAACAGATCTTGGAGAAGACATGGAATTAGAAGAAGATGATGAAGAAGAAGAAAAAGAAGAGAGATTCCTTAAACTGTTTCTTCTAGGTGAAACTGTATAATAAAGTGGCCTTGAAATCACTGGATATTGGTTATAGTTCTTATTATTAGGATGGTTCTGATTATTGTTGTTTCCTGAAAATCCAGCTTCAGTTTCAGCTAAAGAGACTAAACCATCATCTTCTTCAATGAAACATGGTCTTCTTCTTGTTGATGGTGACTCCATTTTTTGAGGGTTTGTGAAAAGAGAGAAGAGAAGAGGGGAAGTGGGATTTGGAGTAATTGAGGTGGAGAATTGGTAAGGTTATAAAAGAAGTTGTTGGGGGTTNTGGGCCGGGGGGGAGAGGGGGAAGGGACTAGAAGTGTAAACCATTGCAGGGGTTCAGGATTCTGTGCAAGTGAATCTATTGGCTTGAGAATTTCTTGTATCTCGACACTTCCTGGCCCCTTGCATCATTTTGTTTATTATTTATTAATACTTATTCTTTAATATTTTCATATATTTTTTTTTGTTTTCCATCCGATGTCCGGTACATGTATTGGAGCCCGATTATATTCGGATTCGTGCCGCGTAGGGCCCTACTCGGGAGAAGCACTCACTACTAAGAATTTTTCCATACCCAGGAATCGAACTCGAGACCTCTGCTTAAGGAAGGAGCAGTCTCATCTTTTGCATCACATCCTTTGGTGGTCATATATTTTACCCTTAGTGGACGTTTGGACATAAAGAATTGTAAAAAAGTGAAAAAAAAATTCATAAAAAAGTGAAAAATTTCTTATGTCCAACGGACTCTTGGAATCTGTCCTTTTATTACATCTTTACGAGAATAAATTTAAAATGGATTTATTTTATATTTAATATTATTTTTATTCCTATAAAAATAATAATCTCAGAATAATTAATCTAGATTAATTCAGAAATACTTGTTTTTCCAACCAAACAACTTGTTCTTTACCGTTGATGGCGTGTATAAAAAGTTAATTTTCATGAAAAGAAAAAGTGACATTTGTTTTAGAGTTTGAATAAAACACACCTCACAGTCTTTTAAAAAAAAAATTGTAAGAACTTATAAACTTTTGCAAATTCACGATGAATCATTATTTTTAAATAGGAGGCTTAGTATCGATAATTTTTCAAAAAAGTAAAATAGAAGATGAAAGACTATGGCATACAATTAGCTATATTTACTTTTATTAGCCAGGTTAAAAGGGAAGTAAAGGTCCCAGGAAAGAGAATTGAAGTAATTAGGGGTGTTCATAAAAACTCGAAAAATTGAACCAAATCGAAAATCAAATCAAACATATCAAAAAAATCGATACTTATTAGATTTGGTTTGGTTTTGAATTTTAAAACCGATCAAATTTGGTTTGGTTTTGGTTTTAATAAAAAAATAATTAAAAAAAACGAACCAAACCAATTATAAAAGTAGCTATTTAAATTTATTATTACACCTATATATATGGATATTTTTATATAAAGTTTCTAAAATTTTATGGTACATACTAGTCATTTGTATTTTTTATCTAGTTCTTTGCCATTATAATAATCTAATTCTTTGCATTTACATTCTAGTTTGATTGGTAGTTTTTCTTTTGTTAAGTACAAGAATTTATTTTATGTTAAAAATAATCGATTTTTAATTGAGTAATTAAATTATTCATCACTATTTGATTCAATTATTATCAATATATCTTGGTAAATGATAGATTTCTCAAAGAGCAATTGATTTGATAGTGTTACGTTGAAAATGTAGTCGCCGGAATATGTGTTTGGTAGTGTATGTGTCATATTTAAGAAAAAACTGATAAATAACTGAAAAAATTAAAAAACAACAAAAATCGACTTAATTGGTTTGGTTTCAATATTTGAAAAATCGACTTACTTAGTTTGGTTTATTTTTAAAAAAAATCGGACCAAACCGAAAAATGAACACCCTTAGAAGTAATACTAAAGTTTATTTTGTAATAGTAAATTAATTGTTAATTCTTGTATGTAATTATTTAAAAATAGTCTAATTATATAAATATTTTCTAACTCAAATAAGAGAGGAAGGAGAAATAAAGTGATTGGAACTGGACTTAGGTAGGGTCCTGTTCGACCCGTGGCACACTCCCAACCTAACTGCACATGATATGCTTGGGCTTTCTAATGTTCAAAAAGTTTTAATGTTAAATAAAATTAATACCACAAAAAGCCAAGCACCAACTCCACTCCCCATTATTTGCGCGTCAATTTTAAACCATGTCACCCTCTTACTAATATTCCTATTACATTACTCTCCTCTACCTATGCCCTATGATGGATATTTTCTGGGTATTTTTCGTCTATAATATGGTAACTCCGAGCTTACTGTGAGGATCAACTCCTCCAAAAGAATCTGATTTTTCTATGCGAATTTAAATTAATTAGACTTCACGAATATTCGACGAAAAATATTACTATTTGTAACATAAGTCAAAAGACCTTGCGCAATTCCTTATTCGACACATTTTGTGACCATCATGTAAATCCTTACATTGTGATGCTTGTAAACTTAAATTCTTTTCTAAAAAGGTTAACTCAATTTTTGCATAAATAAATGCCTATAAATGATCAACAACTTTTAGTCTAGCCTAGAGACGTGACATTTCCTGCCCACCGCACTGGTCTTTACTCCTTTACTTAGTGCACAAGTCAATTCCGCAGAATAGCAGAAAAATACTCCTCCATTATTAAATACCCACCTCGAAAATAAATAAAGAAGAAAATCCAAATAATTTTCAAAAAACAAAATGAGGAGCGTTTGATTCACGTGCATTCAATGAGAATATGGAAAGACAAGAGGAAACGAATCCGTACGTGGAAGTCATGCATGATGCACCCACACCACACCACGGCCTCTGTTTGAAAAAAAAAGCCCACTAAGTTACGCGTCACTCAAAACGAACCCGTTTCGATAACGTCACCGTAGTTTTAACACTTTTCGCCAGATTCTTTTGTCGTTTTCTTCCATTTCACAGCTATTTTGCTCAAAGACTCCAAGTTGTGTGGGCCCCGGAATCAACCATAGAAAACATCAGCTATGGGGCCCATTTTGCTAGCTGTGGGACCTAACTCTTCCTGTCAAAACCCATCGATCATCATCATTGTGGAGACATGATAAATAAATGAGATTTTTAAACTATTGCCTCTACTTTCACAAACCGTCAAGTCTGAATTAATAATGTAAGTATTAGTTATACAGTGATTATTTCTTATCTGCTATTTAGTGTGATGCATTATTAATTACAATACATTACATAATTTTTAAGAAAATTAATTATTCATAAAAATACCCTTCATATTTTTTAACTTTAAGGGGTTTTAAGATAATTTTATCTTTAATCATGATAATATATGCATTAATAGCCTTAATATTTTTAATATCATAGATTATTATATATTAATTATATATAGAATAATATTAAATAAATTGCATAACTAATACGTACATTGATAATACATATATTAAAAATGTACACCAAATAAGAAACTAATAATACCAAAAGCTAATACATATTTTTTCAAATACATCTTACCAAACAATCCGTAAATGTGCCTTCAAATTCGTCCTGTTGCATTCGTGGTTAAAAAAAGAAGGGAACTTTTAGAGGCGGTTTGCTCTAGCAAATCAGAAAAAAATCTCTAAAATATTAAATTGTAATAATCAAACATACTACATACAGAGGGAGGGATGTTTTGGCAGGAGATATTAGAAAAAATAATGAAATCATTATTTTTATACATTATTAATATTTTAGTTGGTATATTTTTTTAACTCATATATAATTAATACTTGTATTGGTTATATATTATTCTTGGTATTAACTTATATATAAGTAATGTATAGAAAACTATAGCATTAATACTACCAAGGCTATAAATGCATTAGTATGGTTAAAGACAAAATTGTATGGGTCTAAATTTGGCTACCACGACAGCAGATAAGCGAGATATGGAACGAGGTCGCCACAACACAACGACTGATGGTCGTTGTGATAAAGGACGACGACCAAGAGCGGGCAGCCGAAATAAGAGAGTAACGGTAGTCTAAACTTAGAAATAGACAGGAAGAATATGCCTTTTGAATATTCTTTATTTTGTACTTTTTAGAATTTTTTGGGAGAATATCCCTTATAAATAGGAGGAGTTAGTAAACAAAAAAGGGGCTGCCATTTGAAAGAAGAGAGAACACATTGTAAAAAGGAGAGAAGAATATACAAAAGAATTGTCTTATTCACTTTACTCAAGCACATATTGTTTAACTTTCATCCATAAATCTCTGGATTCCACATTCATATCGGCTGCATTTCGTTTCACGTCATCAGAAAGAGGAGGCATACAATCACACAATTATTGTGTGACAGCCCCTTTATATTTTGACCATTATTATTTCTTGCATTCATTGCATTTTCAGGTTATTATATATTTTGCTAATCATTACGCGTCGAGTATATCACTTACCGCTTTTAAACCGTTCTCATTATAGTAGAATTTCATTCCATTTGATCGAGAAATTATTTGGCAATTATTTGCTCAAATAATTTGGCGCCGTCTGTGGGGAGTTCTCTAGTTGAAACTATAATTCTTTCTAGATCATAAAAAAATACATCTCTTCCTTGTTTGCACCACTAAAAATGGCAGGAAAAGAAGATGCGAGGTTGAAAACGATAGCAGGTGTCGCTACCAACATCTTGAACACAAGCAATGAAGATGGCAGGGAAAACGATGAAAACGCGACACCGAATGCTACACCCAAACGGAGTGCTTCGCCTCCCCCCACGAAAGCATAACTGCTTCACGCGAAAAGGGAGCCTCCACGTCAACAATAGAGGAAGCACCATCAGTAATAAAAAGACTACTGGAAGAGTGGCTAACAAGAACTCTGAACAACATACTCGATAAACTCGTCCCAAAGGAGAACAGAGATGCTACACACATAGATATCATGACAAACACTAGCAAACAGGACGCCCCCAAACACGTAACACTCATGCCACTGTTGATGCAGGTAATGACGCACTCACAGTCATTCTGAAGAAAATGGAAGAAATGGAAAACGAAAATAAGGCGTTTCGTGATCAGATGAAGGAACATCAAGAAAGGGTCGACAAAATACCGGGCTCCCCAAAGTTATTACCGAAACGAGACGCTGGTCGATTCGTCGAACAACCGTACAGCGAAGGAGCAGCCCCCCATGCCATCCCAAAAACCTTCAAAATGCCACCATATCTGAAGATATATGATTGCACTACGGACCCAGAAGATCATATCGTTCACTATGCCA